AGCTCTCTTCTGTGACTGTCTATTTGTTTCTGTGCCAGCACCAGTTTGTCTTTATTACTTTGTCTTTGTGTAGTCTGTCTTAATACCTGAAAGGGAAAATTCCCAGCTACCCAACATGGGTACTATTGCTCTTTCTTTCTTTGTCAAGTTACCTTAGCTTTTCAAATACCCTTATTTATTAACAACTTTATTAAGATATAATTCACATACTATACAATCTATTCATTAAAATGCACAATTCGGTGGGTTTTTTTTTTTTATTCTCTCGAAGACATTTTTGCATCTATCTTGAGACAGAGCGGGAGAGAGAGAGGGGGGAAGAGAGAGAGAGAAACATCGATGCGAGGGAGACACACCGAGTAGTTGCCACCCACACGACCCCAACCATGTTGGGGACAAACTGCAACAGAGGTACATGCCCTTAGCGAAAACCGAACCCGGGACTCTGGTCCACAGGCCTACGCTCTAACCACTGAGCAAACTAACCAGGGCAATTCTGTGGTTTTTAATATACTATTAACAGAGTTGTACAACCACTACCCAAATTTATTTTAGAACATTTTTCTTACCCCCAAAAGAAACCCCATACTCTATAGCCATTGCTCCCCTAGTCTCCTACCTGCCATAGTCATAGAGCCACTAATCTATTTCTGTCTGTATAGATTTGCCTATTCTAGACATTGCATATAAATAGAATCATATAGTAAAAGATATTTGTAACTGGCTTCTTTCATTTAGCATAATTTTTTCAAAATTCATCCACTTTGAAGTATGCATCAATACTTGTTCTTTTTTATGAACAATATTTCATATCATGGACATAACACATTTTGCTTATTCATTGGTTGACGGACATTTTATGGTTATTTTGGCTACATGAATTATAGCACTGTGAGCATTTATGTACAAATTTTTGTGTGGACATATGTTTTCTTACTGATATTTTGTTTTTTAGAGGAAGGAAGAGGGGTAGGGAGGGAGAGAGAGAGAGAGAAACATCAGTGTGAGAGAGAAACAACTATTGGTCTCCTTCTGCATGCACCCAACCAGGGAACAACCCCCCAACCTGGGCATGTGCTCTGACTGGTGACCTTTCAGTGCACGAGACCAACTGAGCCACACTGGCCAGGGCTGGACATATGTTTTCATTTCTCTTGTGTGTATACCTAGGAGTAGAATCACTTGGTCAAATGGTAATTTTGTGTTTAGGTTTTTAAGGAACTGCCAAACTGTTTTCCAAATTAGTTGCGCCATTTTACTTCTCACCAACAGTGTATGAAGGTTCTAGTTTCTCCAGATCCTTATTAACCCTTGATACGATTTTTTTTGTTCTACCATGCTAGTGGGTAAGAAGTGGTATCATGGTTTTGATTTGCGTTTTCTGATGACTATGTTGAACATCCTTTCGTGTACTTACTGGCCATTTTTATATCTTTAGAGAAATGTGTATTCAGATTCTTTGTTCATTTTTTAATTGCCTTTTTTGTTTGTTTTTTATTACTCAAGTTTGTGTATTTCATCAAAGTTATTTAATTTATTGTCACTTTTTAACTATCTGTAAGTCTGCCTTCTTTTTCATTTAGTATTTAGTGTTTTGGTTTTTTTCTTGATGAGTCTTGTCTGAGTACTCTTTCACAAAATAGTGAATATGAGTTCAGGCTCCAGTCATTCAGCCACTTATCAGTTTCACCACCTAGCAGCTATGTGACCTTTGGCAGGTTACATAACTACTCTGTGCCCCTGTTTCCTCAAATGATAGTTCCTATGTCAGAGGGTTGTTTTAAAGGTTAAATGAGTTAATATATGAAAAATGTTTAAAGTAACACCCGACAGTAAGTGCTCTGTGAATGCTAGTTATTAGTAGTAGTGGAAGCCTTTTCTAAGAATCAGCTTTTGGGTCTTTTACATTTTTCTTTTGCTTTTTGTTTTCTGCCCTTAATTTTTTTTTTTTTTTTTTTTTGTGGTTATGCTCCTTCTTGAATCTAACATGCTGATAAATATTCAAATCTAGATAATTGTAATGAATAACTACTTGAGGTGACTCCTACAGACTATAATCTTTATGGTAGTTATATCTGAGTCATACTCATATTCATGTTTTTCTTCCATGTCTTATGCTTATCAGTACTAATATCATTCTGAACAAGTCAAGTGACTAGGCCCCAGCACATTTTCTTAAATACTCACTAACTCTTCTTCCAATCCTCTTCAGATTGGTATTCTCCAAAGTTTTGATTTTGGATTGTTAGGGATATACTTTGCTGCTTTTTTTTTTTTAAATCCGTTGCTTACTTACAAAAAATAGATTAACTTTTTTTGGTCATAGCTCAGCTATCTCATAGAATCTATTAGATTTATTTTCCTCCTTGCTGGAGTTGTTTAAAGAGGGTCTTGGTTTGGTAAACCTTCAAAGCTTTTTTATTTTATCCTCACTAAAATGGTATTTTGTTACTATGTAAAATTCTAGATTCAACATGCCTTTTTTTTCCTTCCTTTAATACTATCTCTCCAATGTCTTCTGGTTTCTTGTGTTGCTATTGAAAAGTTCGATGTTCATCTGATTCATGTTCGTTAGTAGTTAATCTGTTCTTAAGAATCTGTTTGGCACTGAACTATTTCAATCTGAATTTACTAAATTCTTTGGTTTTTCTCTTCCCGCCCCCTGCCCCCTTCCCTCTTGAGGTTCATCAGTCTAAACAACCAATTTAATCCCTTAGCCTTTTTCACCCAAGCCCCCTCTCACCTGGCACCCAACAAAAAGTTCTCTGTAGTTATGAGTCTGTATTAGAACTTATTTTAAATCCTTATCTGGCCCTAAAATTCTAAAAGTCATTCAGTTTGTTGTCTGTCCTTCATGGCTTTTGTGTACTCTGAGATTTCTATCACTTTCTCCCTATGATTATTCTGCCTTGTCCCTTCAAGATTTTGTTGCCAAGAAATGACTAGTAAATGACATTTTTTATTCAGATGAGTTTCATATAAAACAAATTGGATTTAAATTATCTAAATTTAATATTTTAATGATTCTTAAGTTTTATTAAGAATAAAATGTTTTTTTGCCCTGGCCGGTTTGGCTCAGCGGTTAGAGCGTCGGCCTGCGGTCCTGAGAGACCCGGGTTCGGTTCCCGCTAAGGGCACGTACCTTGGTTGCAGTTTGTCCCCGGCCCTGGTCGGTTGTGCGGGTGGCAGCCACTCGATGTGTTCCTTTCACATCGATGTTTCTCTTTCTCTCTCTCTCTGTTCCTCTCCTTCCCTCCCACTCTACCTGAACAAAAAAAAAAAAAAAAAAAAAAGGAAAAATGTCCTTGGGTGAGGATAAAAAAAAAAAAAAAAAAAGAATAAAATGTTTTTTCTTAGTAACTTACTCAATTCTGATTATTTGTTTCATTTATACTTTTTTTGTGAATTGTTTCACACAGAAAAGGAGAAAATAACTTTTAAGCAAGTCCATATTGCTGTTTTCTATACCAGACCTATTATTAGGAAGGTGCTAATTTGCAAGCTTTTATTAAGTGGACATCAGTGATCTGTTTAAAGCAGTGGTGATGGGAATAATTTCTTCTGCCACCCTGAAGGAAGTGAGATTGTCTTTTTATTAAACTAGACCCTAGCACTGCAGCTCTTCTCCTTTGTGCTGCTCACCTTTGCGTTTATCCCCGGGAGCATCTCTGAAGCATTATATATGTTCAGTCAGCCAGGTTTATTTCAAAATTACTTTATTTATAGTATGTAAAAGTCTCCATGTTCAAGTGGTAAATTATAGGAACATAGTCAAGCTATGTACAGTTTACTTATTAATCAAGCTTTTAATAGACTGTTGTGGGTCAGCAGTTGATGGCATGTATGTAATATATTGGGGGTTAAGAAATAATAGATAGCATTGCTATATTGTACCTTCTGCTTCAACTTTTTTTTTTTTTTTTAATCCTCACCTGAGGACATTTTTCCATTTTTTGTTCAGATAGAGTGGGAGGGAGGGAGAGAGAGAGAGAGAAACATCGACGTGAAAGGGACACATCGAGTGGCTACCACCTGCACGACCAACCAGGGCCAGGGACAAACTGCAACCGAGGTACGTGCCCTTAGCGGGAACCGAACCCGGGTCTCTCTGGACCGCAGGCCGACGCTCTAACCGCTGAGCCAAACCGGCCAGGGCTGCCTCAACTTTTTTCCAGGTCATCTCCTTCTTGGGAACTGACCCTTAGAACTCCATTTCCTTCACCAGGTCCTTTATCCTCCTGACCAGGATAATAAATTTATAGCCAAATTCTATGGTAAACATTGTTCATTTATCACACATTCTTCACCTGCTAAGCCCTGGGCATGCCCTCAGAATCCTTTTTAGCATACCACTTCAGGGAGTTTGGCACTAGAGATGATACCTAGTTATCATTTTTGTTCTGGCTCTAGTTCCAATCAGACCAAGATATTAACATATTCAGGCTGTTTTTGCTTTGAAGGCTGAAAAGAATAAAGATAAAATAAGTAAAATTGTTTCCCAGTATCCAAGAGACACTTTTCTGCCCTTCTCTTTTTTAAATGTATTTTATTGATTTTAGAGAATGAGGAAAGGAGAGAGAGACATTGATGAGAGAGAACATCAATTGGCCGCCTCCTGTATGCATGCCCCCCACTGGGGATTTGGCTCACAACCTGGGCATGTGCCCATATGAGAATCGAACTGGTGACCTCTTGGTGCATGGGTCAACACTCAACCACGGAGCCACACTAACCAGGCTCTGCCCTTCTCTAGGTCATCGTTTAAAGCCTTTTATGTCATTTTATCTTTTGTTTCTATCTGTGCTGTTTCTACTTTGTCTTTTTAACTAATTAGTTCGGAATAGGAAGTAAACACATTTGTATTGAGCAACACAGATTAGATTTTGATTTGATAGTAAATGAAAAGGGCACTCTTTTCTTTGCATCTATAATCACTCCTGAGATTATTACTTCTCATTTTTGGTGTAATGTTGTACATTTTTTCCTATATTTGTATTTAGATATTTTGGTGAAAATGAGGTGCCACCAAGCCTGTGAAAGGTGTTTGTTTTGAATGCCTTCTTCCTGGAACTAAGCAAAGGTCTGTAAACAGTAAAAAAAATGACAGAAATTTGAGAAAGAACAACATAGAAGCAAATGCTGGTAGGGCAAACTAGAATTTATTTTTGTTCCTGAATTCATATGAGGTGGATATTTTTAAATATTAATAATAAAGACATTGAAGAAAGTGGACCATTCCTACGTGAGCCAACTATCTGGCCATTACTCTGTTGTGTGCCTAAACTGTATCATTGTACTTGTTCTTTCATAACTACTCTTTTCAACGTAGGCATTGGCTTCACTTATGAAGACAGTAGAGTCAAAAAGGTAATAACTTGCCCAAAGGCACACAGCTAGTAAGTGGTAGAGTTGGGATGCCCTCTCTCTCTGGCTACAAACATTTATGTTTCTTTCCATCTAACCATTTAGGAAATTTTACTTTTATCAGAACTTACCTTTTTTCCATAGTAGACTTTATATTATAGCCTTTTTTAATATGGCCAGTGGTTACATGCATATATACATTTTAATGTTTTATAGGTTATTTGGGCCTATGACACTGTGGCTAAAACGATATGGTTCTTGTGTATTATTTCAAGCACTTGAGAGTGTAGCCCAGTAATGTAGGACAGTGATTGAGCCAGGTGTCAAATCCTGAGTCCACCACTACCTCACCTTGTGAGAGACCACCATACAGGGTTGTTTTGAAGATCAAACATGGAAATATGCATAGAACACTTAGCACACTATCTGACAAACAGTATATGCTTCATAACTGCTCTTAAGTATTTATTATGTATCATGTTAAATCCCTAGATTCTCCATGAGATTCTGAGTTTTTGAAATATATAGTATTTGTGTCTCTCTCCTGATCAGGAATATTAGCCTCATCCAGGATTTACAGTATTTCTAGAAACATCCCCAAAAATTGTTTTGGTTGAAGATACTTCACCACTGGTAGTCTTTGTTTTAACCTTGTATTGTATGAGAATACAGAATCCACAATTCAGTGATTAAAACATTTGCTGTCTTTTTTCTTTTTCAGAAGATGAATAATCTTTCATTTAGTGAGCTATGTTGCCTCTTCTGCTGTCCACCTTGTCCAGGGAAAATTGCTTCAAAATTAGCATTTTTGCCACCTGATCCAACTTACACGCTAATGTGTGATGAAAGTGGAGGCCGCTGGACTTTACACCTATCAGAACGAGCTGACTGGCAGTATTCTTCTAGAGAAAAAGATGCTATTGAGTGTTTCATGACTAGAACCACTAAAGGCAACAGAATTGCCTGCATGTTTGTGCGTTGCTCACCCAACGCCAAATATACCTTACTCTTCTCACATGGAAATGCTGTTGATCTCGGTCAGATGAGCAGCTTTTACATAGGACTGGGATCACGGATTAACTGTAATATATTCTCATATGACTATTCTGGATATGGTGCAAGTTCTGGGAAACCAACGGAGAAGAACCTCTATGCAGACATAGAAGCTGCTTGGCTTGCTCTTAGGACAAGGTAAATGGTGATTGGGAATTATTTTCCACACTTAATATGATTAAAATTGTCTTGTATTAGAATAGAATAAAAGCTTTTTTATAACACATCTTGAAGTACTAAATAAAGATTATACTTACCAATATATACCTATGAAGAGTTAAAATTAGATTGTAATTGTGATGCTGTGATAAATCATTTAAGTAAATTCTCTTACTATGTCAGCTATTCTTTGATTATAATACATTTTGGGGGGGACTAGAAATTACATTAATCTTTTCTAGTCACCAGGATACAATTTTTTGAAAAATAATGCAATTTTATAGACTTCAGTGTAATTTATTCTTCCTACTATACATTGATAGGCTGCCTGACTTCCACAGTATTTTAGATTGAAGCTAAAGGACATAAAGAAAACTTACAGAACACATATGCATAACCCATAGACAGACAACAGTGTGGTGATGGCCAAAGGGCAGGGACAGGTGGGGACTTGGTGGAGGTAGGCAAAGGAGGGGAAATGGGGACATCTGTAATAGTATCAACAATGAAAATTAAGTTAAAGAAAAAAGAACTAGAGAGGTGAAAAAAATAAAGAAAAAGAAAACTTACTATCTCTAATGTAATGTTTGAATACAGGTGATTTCATTTAGTTTAGAACTGCTTCAATTCTGTTAGTAGGCATAACCTTTTTTAGAAAATGTCTTTAGAACCATTACTCCTCCAAGATATGTAATAAAACTCAACTCCTCACAAAGTTCTAAATAAAGGAGATTTTAAATCAACTGAAATGATATGAAAACATATGAATAAGGGAAAAATAGATAGTAAATAATATAAGTATTAGGGCAGGAGTTCAGGGTTAGGTGGAAGAACAGAATATTAAAAATATATAAATTTAAAAACCACCTTAAGTGACAAAATCTGCTTTTATTATACTGACATCAGTCCCCTCAGCCTACAGACAAACAAAAATGAGTGTCCACTTTCAGAGTCAGCCAGCTGACTGTAGTATAACTGTCAGGAAAATGTGATTTTATATATATTAATAACAGATTTATTAAGATATAAATCATATACTATAATCTATTTTTTATTTTAAAGTATAACTTCCGTGGACTAGTATGGTTCTTTTTTTTTTGTTACAGATGTTTCTCCTTTTCCCCCCACTGATTCCCCCCTCCCCCTCCCTCCCTGCCCTGACTCCAGCTTTGTTGTCCATGTCCATTGTTCATGCATACATGCATATAAGTTCTGTGGTTTATCTCCCCCACAACCCCCTCTTCAGGGGATTGTCAGTCTGTACCCCACTTCCACGTCTGTGGGACTACCCCATTCCTCAGACTGTTACGTTCATTATATTCCACAAATAAGTGAGATCATATGATACTTGTCTTTCTCTGTTTGGCTCGTTTCACTTAGGATAATACTTTCCAGGTCCCTCCATGTAGTCTCAAAGGATAAGAGATCTTTCTTTCTTACAGCTGCATAGTACTCCATTGTGTATATGTACCACAGCTTTTTTATCCGTTCGTCTACTGATGGACACTTGGGATGTTTCCAGATCCTAGCTAATGTAAATAGTGCTGCTACAAACATGAGGGTACATATATTCTTTCTGATTGGTGTTTCAGGCTTCTTGGGTTATATTCCTAGAAGTGGGATCACTGGGTCAAATGGAAGTTCAATTTTTAATTTTTTGAGGTAACACCATATTGTTTTCCATAGTGGCTGTACCAGTCTGCATTCCCACCAGCAGTGTACTAGAGTCCCCTTTTCTCCACACCCTCGCCAACACTTGTTGTTTGATGATTTGTTGATGGCGCTATTCTGACAGGTGTGAGGTGATACCTCATTGTTGTTTTAGTATGGTTCTTAAGGATGCTAAGTTAAAGCAGATAGCCCTTATTGTTAGTACTTGAGTAATCAAGAAGGGAAAAGTAAATAATGAACTTAAGTAATTATTACTTAAATGGTCTTTTTAGTATAATTGATAATAACCTTAAGTTTCTGAACTTCTGATCTATCAAGGTAAAATAGGGGACTAATAATCACTATGCAGCCTTCACACACAAATTTTGAAGTCATTATCTTTGTGTTATAATAGAAAAACCACTGGTCTGAGAGTCAGGATAACTGGGTTCAAATTATAGGTCTGTCACTAGCTTACTCTGACTTTGAACATCTGCTTAGTAAGCAGTAGAACCAGCTTAGATGGTCTCTAAAGTCCTTTCTAACTTGTAGTATTCTGAAATTCTGTTATTGCTTTGAGACCTCTGATGTGAAATTGCCAGCTGCCTCTGCTGCTCTGGAGCCTTGCCCATTACTAACTTTAGCCTAAAACCCATAGTTGCCACCAACATGCTGCTACTCAGCTAACAGCAACTGTGCAGCCTTAAGCTGATGCTGATGTTCCTTTCCCAGTTTTTTCATTTCTATAAAGAATGCACAGCTAGGTCTATTGTAAAGAAAACTTTCCTGAGTTTACTTACATGTAGAGTTAGTCTGGAGTAGATGGAGCCCAATCTCTGGGACATATCCAAATGATTGAGTAGGACTGATTGAAAGAAACTATGGGAAGGTATGTCATTATCTGAATAGTTCAGATAGGCCTGTACCCCTGGAAAGGGCTATGAGGAGTACACAAGGCTAGTATTGTTCTTTCCTGGTGAGTGCTCAGATAATTTGGAAAAGATTAGAAGCTGTTGATCAAATGGCCCTTAGCAGCCAGAAGTGACTACAGTCAGACTTCTGAAATGGAAAGGCATATTTGGTGTCACTCTAACCCTTAACTCCACATTCATTAGTTCCTGTAGCATCTCATTTACACTTGCAGTAGTTTACAGTTGGGACAGTCAGTTATACTGTAGACAAGTAACAGTGCCTAGGACATAGTTATGTACCTAATATTACTGAGTTCAATGAATTTATGTATTTAAATCTGAACTGTTTTATTAAAGGGAGTAAAGCAATACTCTTGAGATTTTAGCATTAAGTATTAATAATTAACTGAATCATATGTCATTCATCCATCTGTGTTTTCAATCACTAATCCATTTCTGTGGTAAGTAAAGGAAGATTTCAAGAAATACAGTAATTTGCTCTTGACTAAACCAATACATATGTTCATTCCATACTGTAACTATATGTCACATTTTCATCTCTATGACCAACTTCAGAAAAGAAAATAATCCACTTTTAATGTCTAGAGAAATAAGAACTTTTCTTACATTTAATGGAAAATACAATCTATTAAATATCAATCATTAAAATATTAGTGATAATAATGTTCCAAATTTAGTCTCCAGTATGCTACATTGAATTACATAAATGGTTTAATAGATCCATTTTTAAGATTGAAATTTTAAAAAGACTGCAGCAGCTTTTCCAGAAGATGAAATTGAAACATGAAATAAGAAAATAGATTTTTAGTATATCATTAAATATGATTGTGATGGCTAAGAAACTTAAATTTTAAATGTAAATTTGTTAACATTGTGTAAGTCATTCAGTTGTAAGATTAAGTCCTTAGGGATGATTGAACATTTCATACCAGTCCAACTCTTTTTTTTTTTTTTAACTTCTGAACTTTGTAGATATGGCATTCGCCCTGAAAATGTGATTATATATGGCCAAAGTATAGGGACAGTTCCATCTGTGGATCTTGCTGCTCGGTACGAGAGTGCTGCTGTTATTCTTCATTCTCCATTGACCTCAGGAATGCGAGTTGCTTTTCCTGATACCAAGAAGACTTATTGTTTTGATGCATTCCCAAAGTAAGTATCAATATTCAAAATACTTGAATTTGAAGAAACTTTTAATAGAATTTTATTCCATCACTTAAGGTATTCATGATACAACTCACTCAGCCATGAGCTTCTATTTTACATATATTATAGAAATTGTGAAAAATTAACTTATGATGCAGGTGGTAGCAGGATACCAGTCAGGAAGCTCAAATGTTTGAGCAATATTGATTCTGGTACAAAGTACTGGGGGCTTTTAACCAGACAGTGGCACTAGTATTAGGGACAGGAATGAATTTGAGAAATAGAATTGATAGAACTAAATGTCAGGCTGGATATAGGATGCTAAACAAAAGAACTTCAATATAATTTCCAGGTTTCTGATTTAAACTGCTAATGGATGGTGGAGCCATTCAGTGAGACACAATACTGGAGGAAAGGAACAAGTAGAGGGAAAATGAGACATGTGCATAAAATTGAGTGAATAATTTTAATGGTATCTGATTGACAAAAGTAGTGAATTGCAAACAAGTTGAGTCATAAATGAACTAGGATAAGGATTGCTACCGCAAAGTCTGTAAACATAAGGTGTTAGACAAATTTGAAAGAAGGGCTACTTCTACTGCTTCTTAAGACAGTATGGCAGGTTCCATCAACTCAAGAAGTGAGAAGCTGGCAAATTTAAGTTGTTTTTTTTTTTTGCCTAAAAGGATTTTTTTGTGGATGATAGATGGGCCAAAGGCCAAGTCATCACTTTGTTCTTTATAAGAACAATAAGGGCTATTTTAAAAACATATATTGTTTTCCCTGTCCAGTTTTGCTCAGTGGTGAGAGCGTTGGCCCGTGGACCAATGAGTCATGGGTTCGATTCCGGTCAAGGGCACGTACCTTGGTTGCAGTTCGTCCCGGTCCTGGTTGGGGTCTTGAGGGAGGCAGCCACTCGATGTGTCCCTTTCACGTCGATGTTTGTCTCTCTCTCTCTCTCTCGCTCTCTGTCTCACTCTCTCTCTTCCCCCCTCCCTCCCACTCTATCTGAACAAAGATGGAAAAATGTCCTTGGTTGAGGATAAAAAAAAAAACTTATTTTTTCATCATTAGTCATTAAGGGGTCACTTTTGTAGGAAGCTTATGGGAACATGTAATCTTATCACTAGAGCAGGCTACGGGAGGAAGATTATGATTTTTACTTTTATTTGGAGTTTGTTTTTGTTTTAGATAGTAGTAGGTTGGAGAATGATCGAGATGATAGGAAGGTATTTGAGGTAATGCTATTGCTATAAAACATATCTCTGTCTAGCTCCCTTTCATTATTGCACCAACAGAAAGGATAGTACTAATAGCTGTTAGAAAAAGATTATACATTCCTTTTTATTTTTTGTTCTAATTCCTTTACTATTGAACATTTGACAGCAAATAATATACCCAAACATTCTTTTCTTACCAAATGCAGCCTTGAATAATTTAATTTGCTATTTTTACTTTTCATGATTCTATCCTCATTTAATTGTTACAGTGTGCTCACTCTCTCTCTCTTTTTCTCTCTCAGGATTTTAAAGAGTTTGTAAGATTTCTTCTCGGTGTAATTTATGCTCCCTTTGAGCTGCCTTTTTAAATTTGATTGTTTTGATCTGTCTTATGTTAAAGTGTTCTCCTTTGATGTCTGGTAATTCTTGGTTGTCTGCTCATAGTAAGAGAGAGGGACTATAGTGCTGATCTGAGGCAAGTGATTAAGACTTGTTGACTGAGCTTCACTACAGAGTGATCTAGTCAGCCAATTAGTTCGGGATCCCCACCCCAAGCCCTTAATGTGGGTATGGTCTCCAAAGAAAACTTTCTAAAATTGCCCCTTGGTGGATGAAGCCCTGGATGCCAGCATTCTTGAAGTCCAGTAGGGAGAAAGGGTTCACAGCAGCCAGTATGTATATGCTCACTTGGCCTTTGATACCTCTGCCCTAAACTGTGCCTGGCAGTCCCTTGGTCCACAAATCCTCCAGTTTTGGGTGGAGTGCAGTTACCCTGCTGCAAAAAGTAGGGTAAAGACGCTGTCAGAGAGGGACCTAAACTATTTTTTTGAACAAATTGTAAATCTTTAAATACCCTCCTTTATCCCTCTGTCATTTCCTAGCCTTCTGTGGTACTCCAAGGTATAAATTGGGTTGGTTCTTCACTTTACCTTCTATACTCTTTTTTTTTTTAATCCTCACTCGAGGACACTTTTCCATGTTTTGTTCAGATAGAGTGGGAGGGAGGGAGAGAGAGAGAAACATCGACGTGAAAGGGACACATCGAGTGGTTGCCACCCGCACAACCCAACCAGGGCTGGGGACAAACTGCAGCAGAGGTACGTGCCCTTAGCAGGAACCGAACCCGGGTCTCTCTGGATCTCAGGCCGACGCTCTAACCACTGAGAAAAACCGGCCAGGGCTATACTCTTAAAAATTGTGTCTTCTCCTATCTGCTTTTCAACTCCAATTTTTTTTTTTATGTTTTATTACATTTACTCTATATTTGTGAGTTAATACCCTAAAACAAAGAAAACATACCGCCATATGTGTGTGCAGAAAGGTATGAAATTAGCACATGCTTGAAATGGTCTTTAGTTGTGTCTTCTCTTCGCAACCTCAGTTTCTCTGTGCAAAACATCATCATTGCATATAATGTGCAGTATGGTGACAGTACCCATTCAGTGATTCCCTCAAGACAGAAGTGCATGAAGTTAACTTGATCAGATAATCTTAAAGTAAAGATTATGTAAAGGTGATTTGAATTATGTTTGAAATCCAAGAGGCATATATTCCTTCTGGATAGATTCTGGTGTTTGAATTGTCTTTCTGATATAGCACAAGAACATTTGTTTTACATTCCTTTTCATAGTTAATTCATTGACTTTCCTCCTCCTTTTTTCTTACAGCATTGACAAAATCTCTAAGATAACCTCTCCAGTATTAATAATTCATGGGACTGAAGACGAAGTCATTGACTTTTCACATGGCCTCGCATTGTTTGAGCGTTGCCAAAGACCTGTGGAGCCTCTGTGGGTTGAAGGGGCAGGTCACAATGATGTGGAACTTTATGGGCAGTACCTCGAAAGGTTGAAACAGTTTGTGTCACAGGAACTGGTAAATTTGTAAAATACTCTGTAAATTTGCATACCGGGTTTTCTTTTGCTGAACTGCACTTCTTGGTAAATAACGTAAAACCTGAAGGTTTTGTTTGCAAATCATGTCAGTTGCCTTCATAAATGTACAGGTAATGATTTGTTAACAGACTTAATGAAGGTTTTAATTACCAGAACTATAACTGGAAATAACAGTATCATGCAGTCAGGCTGTGTAATTTATATTTTTTCTGTGAATTTTTTTTAAACATCAAGATGAGTACTGTATGAAATTTTAATTCTATAAAATCAAATGCTGTAAAAGTATTGCCAAATGCTTTTGCATATGAGAAACAAATTTATAAATATTTTTAAAACATCTCAATGTACTAAATCTTATCCTGGTATACAAATGTAATATTCTTTCAATAAAAAGCTGTATGTATATCTAAAACCATTCAAGTACTCCATAGAATACTAAGAAAACACACAAGTTTACTAGAGATGACCTAAACCCTATTGTATAGGGATAGAGGTGTAAGCAGTTATTCTATTGTAAAATACATGGAATTTTCTGTATTCCCTGGTTATCATGCATTTTCTCCTTTAAATATAAAAAAAAAAATGATTTAAGTCTTAATTTTTATGCCATCTATTAATTTACCAACTAGTTACCTTGTAAATGAGAAGTCATGATAGCACTGAATTTTAACTAGTTTTGATTTATAAGTTTGGTACTGTGAGGCAACTACTTAAATTTTTTATTTTAGTTATTTAAAAGGCATTTAGAGCTTCAAGAATGACTTTTGTATGCAACGTTGTTTTAAATTTTGACTAATCTCTTAAAATTGCAGTACTCTTCATTATAAGACAACCTGAAAATCCATTGGATGTTCTTCAAGACCACAAACAGACGGCTTTGGTCCCTTTTCACTTTGACTGTTTTTAAGAATAGGACCTATCGTTTTGGATTACAATCTGAGAATTTCATGGATTCGCTCCTGATGCAGGAAATAAGAACATTTAATTCTTAATTTTTATATTAACCAGTGTAGTAAAAAAATAAAGCTCACACAAAAACTAAGTTGCCTTTCCTTGAATGAATCATTCCTGAATTTAAAAAAAAAAAAAAAGAAAGAAAAAGAAAAATTAAATTAATGGTATGTAGTCTAATTTGTAAATGAATGATATTGAAATAATACACACTGTGGATATATTTTAAGGCCTTATGTAGTTTTAATTGTTCTGCTTGTTCTGTGGTTATGTCTAAGACTATAGTATATGATTCTTTTCAAAGTATATCAAGTATTGTGAATGCTTTGGTTCAGATGTGTCAAATTAACAGTAAAACAACAAATATACCACTCAGCTGTGCTTGTTTGCCTTCTTCCTTGCTCTCCACCTTCTATAAAGAGTGAACAAAAGTTACCATTCATCTTAACAGAACATAGTTCTGTAGTTGTCTAAATTTCATCACTTCTTTGCTTTGGAGAAAGGTTTTTCCTTTTTAAGATTGTCTTAAAGCCTATACAATTCCCTCTTTGTACAACATACACCCAGCTTTAGTGTTTTCTTTGATTAATTTCATATTCATTCAGCAAATATTTGTTGCCTATTTAAATTGTGCAAAACCCTATGCCAGATAAAGATAGACACCGGCCATGTCCTCATAGACTTCACAGTATAGCTGGGGAGACATACCTCTTTGCACAGATATTACTGTTTGGATAAGGGCTGAAGGAAATTAGTAGGGTATTATAATAAGTAAAAGGTACTCCTGGGAGACGGGAGGGTGTAGAGAAGGGCAAGGAAGAGTCAATGAAGTAGTTTTTTAGCTGAGCTTTGAAAAAGGATAAACCTTCTTGGCCCAGGTGAATCATTCCTGGCTGAGGGGAATAGTGTGTAGAAGCCTACAAGAAGAATGGTGTGTTTGAAATTAAGATGGGCCAGAGATCAAATGGAAAGAATGGCATGAGACTGGCAGGCTAGTTAGGGGCACAATCGTGTGTAGTATCATGGACCCTGATCACTGCCCTAGAAACAATAGAAAGCCATTGGTAGAAATATGAATCTGCACTTGTTTCATATTTTGTCTTCAGAGTTTGGAGACAAAATCTGGAGATTTTAGCTTAACTAGAAATGACATGGAGGCCAACTTGAAACTGATGTAATCTTGGGGTGCTAAGAAATTCATAATGGCCTGGCTGGTATGGTTCAGTGGATGGAGTTTTCAGTTCCCAATCAGGGCACATGCCCAGGTTTCATTCAGGCTTTATCTGCATTAGGGGCATGATGTTTCTATCTCTCCCTACCTTTCTAAAAAAATCTAAAACATTTTTTAAAAATTCAGTATGGGAAAATAATCATAAAGTGCTTGTCAATTCATATCTGCAATATTAATTTCATTTCAGGATTCAGTGAAAGGATATTCACAATTTAGAACAAGTCCTGGACTGTTATCAAATTAGAGTCCCATAAACAAAAACTAAAGAATTATGTGACTAAAGAATGATAGATGTCTTCATATGTTTGAGAGGCATGTATTTATTCTTGACACTAAGAGTAGAACATTGTGAAAATGGCAGATTCAAGCTCAGTGTAAAAAATAACTTTATGGTCATTTGACCAACAAGGTAAAGAAATTGCCTCTTACACATTAATGAGTATCTTACTACTGGAGCAGAACAGAAACTGAACGGCAAATGACATCTGTCACAATGCCACAAAAGAAATTTCAGATTTAAATGAGAAGTTGAAGTAGATGGATCCTGTGTAAATTCCCTTTAAGATTTTATATTCCATTTAGATTTCTTCTACTCACTCAGAACTTTGCTTGCCCTGTGGTATCTAGAAGACACTATGATGTAGAAGAATTTAATTGGTAATCAGGTCTGTGCCCTCTCCTCGTCTGACACTAATTAGCTGTGTACCCTTGGCAAGTTATTTCCCTGGATCACCAGTGTCTTCACAATCAATGAAGAGGTGGAATTGATCAATTACTATACTCATGTTGCCCAGCCAGTGTGGCTTAGTTGGTTAAATATTAGTCTGTGTAACGAAATGTCAAAGTTTCGATTCCTGGTCAGGGCACATGCCCAGGGTGCCTATAGGAGGCAACTGATCAATGTTTCTCTGTCTCCTCCCTTTTTCTCTTAAAAAAAAATTAATATAAACATACGTACTTTAATTATAAACTGACATCAATTACATAAATAGTACTTTCCTTAGTGCATTTAGACAAAAACTTAAGAACAACCCTTTTAAGAACGGGTATGGAAAGCCAGATAAACTTAAGTCTTAAAACTTCATAGATATGATTAATATAGCCTTATCCCTTCATTTTACAGGTCGAGGAAACCCAAAGAAAAGTGGCTTTTCCAAGGTCTAACTATTTGTCAATTTATCTGGACTGATATACTAATGATCCTTTTGACCTATATAATACAGCATAAACTTATTTGCTCTTAAACATAATTTATGTAAATGGCTCTTAGATTACTCCTTACCAGCTGGTTATTCACTGAAGAGTAGATTGGTAGATTGTGTCTTTCACATTTCTCAAATTAATGAGTTGTATATTTATGTATTTAACACTAATTCATTTTACTAGGCTCTAATAGCTATCTGGTTGTGTTAAAATCTAGTGAAGATGGTAACTAGTCAAATAATCAAGTGTTTACTTCAATAGCACATTTACTACAAATTATATAACATGCTGAGAACAAGCAAATTAAATTTTTTAAAGTATCAGAAGTTACTACTAAATGGTGATGGATGAGCTTTTAGCTAATTGTTTTAAAACAGGCAATATATTAGAAAACAATGATAGCACATTGCATTCTACTAATAATGAGCACCCCAGATGTCCTGTGACCAAAAAGCAAACTATTCATATGATAGTTGGAATTTTGTTTTTGAGTTAAATTTGCAGAATGGAGAGAGAAGTCATTTGTCTACATCCTCTAAATGGATTGTGCCTCTGACTGAATAATTGAATAAGTAATGCTAAGGAAGGAAGCAAATACCTCTAGCTTGGAAATTACCCACTTGACATTACAGTTAAAAAAAAGGAAGTAAAACATAGTCATTGAATGTCAGTGAGCTAAGTAAGAGCCGTTAAACTGGTTTTATCATTTGAAGCCAGATAGATTTAAAATTATTTTACACCCTCCATTTCCTCTTGTAGGCTGTGTACTGAACTTGCAAAACACAATTATATATATTAAAAAGTTTTAGTAATATGCTTTAAGAGATGAGATCTTTATATTAGAAAAATAGAAAACGCTGTTTTAAATGTGCTATTTTGTATCTGCTGATAAAATGTAATTTTCAGCTATTATACTAAATTCAGAGTTGATTACTTCTGTCATTACTGCTTAAGGCAGCATGCTAAAAAGAAGGGTAGCAGGTAGTCAAATTTTTTTAATGTGCTACTCTTCCAAATTACCTGCAAACTATGGTGGATTCACAGACTTGAAATTAGAACTTCTAATTAGCATTTTACATTATAAATCTTATTCAGATGATACTGTGCTGGCATGTTATAACCCTTAATTGATAATTGGTAAATTATTGTGTTGCTCCATAATTGATTGGGAAAGTCACTGAATGCCCTCTAGCTGAACCTCTTTAATCAAAATAACCTCAGTAAATGGAATACTCCCTGAACCAAGAAATTGTTGGGAGCCGGCTACGTGTCTGGCAGAGTCCACAGAGCCTGGAGGTCTTGAGTCAGACTCAACTTTCCCACAATCTCAAGGAATTAGGCTTGCATTGTGTTTGTGCAGCTCAGGGCTAAGTATGACCCAATGTACCTTGAAATACCTTAAATACCTGGGTGTGCCTGGGTGTTTCTGTTACCCATAAGGCAAACTAATTCTATACAGCATTGTTGTAGCCTGGGCATTATATCAAGAAGGTCCTATTTTCTGTAAGGTATAAAATGCATGTAATAAAGCATATCAGGGTTGATTCCGAAGACTCTGTCACAGGGGTGTTTGGAATCAGACGCTGGCCAGCTAACAAACGGCTCTTAATTGGACTTAAATTCTCTAGTGGTCTTTCTTTGACTCTGTCGCGCCACATTTGGAGGCCCCAGGGCTGGTCTCCGAGAACACGGGATCAGTCCCTGGCCCTTTGCTCTCTATTTGGCTTTAATTTGGCTCTGGTGTTCTCTCGGTTCTCTCGCGCCACAATACTTATGTTTGTTTTTAAACACTTAATTTCAAAGTATGTAAATACAAGTTTAAAACTGGTCAAGTCAGACCATTTGTATTATTTCACCAAAATTCAAGATTTTAGTGTTTGGGGTTTTTTTTTTTTTTTGAGTCTGGAAGTCTAGTCTCCAAGCCTCCTTGGAGAGATTGTTGTAGACCAACGAGACAGACCAGACTCAGACTCCGAACTGGGTTCAAATTAAGAGAGCTTTATTAGCCGCGGGGCGACTGTCCCATCCTACGCAGAGGAGAGAGCAGCCCCCAGCTCGGGGGGAGGGTTGCTTATATAGTTGTTTTAGCCCCTGTTAAGGAATTTGGATTAAGGGTATGCGAGCAAGCAAGCGCGTACAGAAGCAGATATTTGCAGTTAGCTGCTATGCCTGAGGGAACAATCAGTTTCTGTGTACACAAAGCAATGGTTATCTATACAATGCAGTGGTTATCTGTTGTCATTCCCTTAAAATCCAAGGTCATGTGTTTGTCCTTTACAAGATGTGAGAGAGACACACTACTACAAAATAGAATGGGCAGGTGGGAGAGACACAGAAAATACTTAAATATCCTGAATATATGTGAGGCTATCAAGAATGATAATTAAGCCCTGGCCGGTTTGGCTCAGCGGTTAGAGCGTCGGCCTGCGGTCCGGAGAGACCCGGGTTCGGTTCCCGCTAAGGGCATGTACCTCGGTTGCAGTTTGTCCCCGGCCCTGGTTGGTCATGCGGATGGCAGCCACTCGATGTGTCCCTTTCACATGGATGTTTCTCTCTCTCTCTCTCTCTCTCTCTCTTCCTCTCTCTCCCTCCCACTCTATCTGTACAAAAAATGGAAAAATGTCCTCAGGTGAGGATAAAAGAATGATAATTAAATTTGCTGAACTATCTAATATAATACCAAGAGAAAGAAAAGTACATGTAAGTGGTTACACCTCCAAAAAATAAAACGTGAATACCTATGGAATAAAACCAGAAGAGAATAAATATAATGAAACATTATTTTGTCAAAGTAGTAGAATTATGGGTTGAGTTTTTCCTCAGAAAGTTACCTTTTATGTTGTTATGTTTTCTTTTTGTTAATCCTCACCGAAGGATATTTTTCCGTTGAAATTTTTTTTTTTTTTTTGAGAGAGTGGGAAGGAGGGTAGAAGAGAG